CTGCAGAGGCAGAGAGGAGGACAGCAAGAGGAAGGCAGCAGAATTCTCCACTGTAACATGTAGGACAGGAGTATGTCAGAGCTATATTTCCACATGGGATGTAGATTGGAAGCACATCAAAGAGAGCATCCGTACGTGCCACCTTACACACTCCTAGTGCCTATCAAGGCATTTAAGAAACTGCGGTCCACTGCTTATGCTGTATGCCAGTAAGCTGTGGCAACATACATCAGGTTCTCAAAGCCAACATGGACAAGCATCACAGGGCATTCTTGAAGGCTGATGTCCAGTAAGCATGAGCTGACAAGGCTCCAAAGTGGTTTGATTTTCCATCAAGTACATTCAAGACAATTGAAATCCCCTCGTTTTGAAGAAGTGTATCATTAAGGCCCTATTTGTTCCCAGCTGTATTTCAAGACAGCTCTGTTGATGTGGTCTGGTTACTGGAAATAAACCCTACCTGCGTAAGGTCATGACAGCTCATCTGCTAGAAAAGATGACTGTATAAAACAGGCAGAAACAAGCTGCTAGGGCTTGCAGTAGTGTCTGTGCTTACAAAACTGGGCATGGATGTCAGCAAGGCCAAGGCATTTGCATAGTTCCTGTGTCAATGCCTTCTGTACCAGTTTCTATGGTTTCTATTGCCACTGTATTTAGGTACCCCAATCTATCAAATCCACAAGACATCACAGAAGTACTGAAAAACTACTGTCCACCTAATACAGATGGAAAACTGACCCAGATATAATGTGCACTTCCTACCACAGTGAATAATGCCACAACTGATGGGGGCACAGAAAGGAGCCCAGATCTCAGGCTAGGATCAGTCTCTCAGGACTGAGGCTTCTGAGTTTCATAACTTAACATATGACTACACTGACAGCTCATTGGAAGCACAACTGTGTAATTGTGCATTGCAAGCTGTGCAATGTGCTATTAACACTTGTTGAAGATTTAATTATAAAATAAGAGGAATTGTAAGAAAACTTCTTAACTTGACCGAACAGTATAAAAGCAGAATCTACCACAAAGTTTATTTATACAGATTTTACAGGCTTTATTTCAGAGATAGACCATTCTGAATTACTTTCAGCTAAAGTTCAATCTGCATTAAGACCCCTGGGCTTTTGGTTCTCTTGTAAGAGAGGGACCCCTTTTTTGCTCAGGTCTAAAGAAGATTTCTGGATAGCAAGTGACCGAATAGAAAATCATGGAAAAGTCATAGCTGTACAGTAGAACCTAAGCTTTCAGGAAGTACTGACCATTGTCTTATTAAAAAACCCCACAACTTTCCATGTTTATTTTTTCCCCTCAAAAACTGTAACCTCCACAAGAAGCAACTCAACAACAGCAAAATCCCAAGTTTTCTGAATGCTTGAAATGCAGACAAATATAAGGCTTATGTTATATGTTTGTCCATCATCCCTCCATCCAGAACTTTCCACAAGTTACAGAGGAAAAGAAGAAAGAAAAAAAAAAGTTATGTAAAAGAGGTTAATTTTTTCATAAAACATTCAAGTGAGCCACTTACATAGTTGTCTCTTGCAGACCAGCCTGGATAAAGCTGCATGTGTAGCTGCCTTTCTTTACGAGCTAGTTCATAATATTTCGCTTGTTCTTCACGGGAGAGAGCATGCCACTGCAAATAAAATAAACATAGCAGTAGACTAGGAAATAACTCATACCCCGGCAACAGATGACCCGAGCCAAGTGTTTCTGTGACTTTGATTCAGTCCTTCCCTGCTGCAAAAATAAAATCCATTAGGAACTGCAAGCACCCGTGTTTATTAACCAAGTTACAGGCATTTGTCAGCTCCGCAACTCTCAAGTGCCTTCAGCAAGACAAAATTCATTTATGGAAACAGGGCTCACCAACTAATCTGCTCACAGCACCACGCTTTCCCAGCATTGCTTTACTTAACAAAAAACCCCACAAACACCCACAAAATAAAAAACCAAAAAAAAAAACCAACCAAAAAAACACCAACACACATCCCCCGCTTAACTCCTGACAAAACAGAAAGGTTTTGTGCTGCTTTTAAAGGACAAGCTCCCCACCATAGAAAGGTTTGCTGTCTTGGTTTTACGCAGCAGCTACACACAGGTTTTCAATGTCAATGCAGAGGGCTTTCTGGGCATCAGCAGGCTCCTGTGCCAAGATCTACCTGTAAGTACTGAGCTTCAAGGTAGCTGCTTTCCGATTTCTTCTTTTTGTAATAAGGGAAAAGAAAATGGCAACTGCAGAAAATTTCTGAGATACAGAAACCACAGAACTGTAGTTTTCCAAATTCCATAGCTGACCTCTGTGGTCAAGTAGGGATAACTTCCTGCTTTTATGTACTTCAAAAAAAACCCCCAAAACTCAAAACCCCCTCACAACCTGAACATTTGAAAAGACAGCAGCTACATCAGTATCAAATAATTTTGTTCTTGTTGAAACACCTATCATAGACCTGAAGCAGGAAGAGTAAAGACCTATTTAGAATGAGGTTCCACTGCTGCATCATTAGACATGTCTTCTTGTTTGATAACATGCATGGGAGGACAGGGGGAGAAGAAGATACTAAAAAACCAAAACAAACCAAACCCAAAAACCAGACAGACATGAAATCATTAAGACACTCATGCAAAAATAATTTACAGAACTAGGATTTCAAATCAGATCACATTTTGTATGATTTAATATGTCATTTTGTTACACATCAGAAGATGTGAACTAAAGCAGTTGTCGGTCTTGACTTGGCAAGTTCGATGTGTTACTGCAAGCACAGTGGCTCAGCCTATTTGCAGCTCTTAAACTCCACATATGCATTACGAAACTGGAAGATAGCAAACACTGAATGTTATCAGAGAGCCCAGCATCATGCAAGCATCAGCTCTTGAGAACGGAGGTGGTTCCTTCTCTGGAGTGACACAGGGTATAGTAAATAGCAACCAGGATGACTGAACACAAAACTTTTGACAATAATTAATCTCCAAGCAACTGTATTGGATAACTCATGCATTGTTTGTACCATAGTAAAAGTGGAATTTTAGGTACTTTCATGGAGAACAGTACCTTGAAAGGAGGAGTCCAAGCTGCAGAAAAAGCGGGAGCACTGGGGCTTACAGAGATAAACAATCCCTACTCAAACTCAGACTGGTACAAAGTTATCCCTTTTCTCATTTCTGAGACAGTCGAGGGCAAAGTGGGCATTACCTCTGCTGCTTTCCCTTGGAGAAACAACACTGACAGTGAACATGAAGTTTGTAACTGGGGGTTGGCCTGCATATCTTTTCTCAGAGCATGGAAAGAACAAAACACGCCTACAATGCTACAGAAGAAACGGCTCTCAGCAAGGCTCTGGGACATGTACCAGGATCATCAGTACTCAGCTGGTGACTTCAGAGACATACAAAACTTGATTAGACAAATCCCTGAGCAACCTGATGTAACTGGACCTGCTTCGAGCAGGTGATGGACTTAAATGACCACCACATGTCGCTCCGAACCTGCAAGACTTTATAACTGAACCGCCTTAAGTTAATCTTCGAGTTCCGTGTCCACTGGCATCTGGTGTTGGTCTTTGAATGATCCCCTCAGGCGCCGATGGACACCAGCCTCAGGGAGGACCCAGAAGGTGATTTGAATACTCCTTCCCTGTGTGAATAAGGCTATTTCACGCCTGAGGTGTTGACACCATAATAGGAGTGGAAGAGATACCAATTCGATGATGTTGCTAATGCTGCTTTTATTTTTTAGTTGCATGTTTTATCTTCTATAGCTAATTTGATAGTTGCACATTAGTTAGCACCTCAAGCAGAAAGTGAGCTATCACACCCAACTAAAGGGAAACACACACAAATTAGCAGCACACGTGAGTACACACACCCCCTCCTGTACATACCCTTCTGCCAAGAATCTGGTTGATAGCTGCGCTTTCTTTCAGAGTACACTCTGCTACAACGTTCGCTCTCATTTCTTTCATGTACAACATGAAAGCATTCAGAGGTTTCTTAATATGAGGTCTTTTTGGCTCTTGTTCTTTTCTCTGTTCGTGCTGAGGCTTCCTAAAACGTGGTGGGGGAAAGGGAAAGGAGGGGAAAAAAAGCATCCATTTACCTTCAGCCTAGAAAGCCTCAGTGGAAAATTACCAACCTGTGGTTACAGGAGCATTTAAGTAAGTAAGAATGAGAGTTTCAGTGGGCATGTACCATCCACTTTCATATCTTTTCAGAGAATTGATTTAACACTCACAGAGTATGTCAGGTTGTCATTCTTGCAAATGACATTTGAGCTCTGAATCCATTCCAAATTCATCACTTGTCTCAATTCTCTTTTTTCCCATAGTACCCTAAAGACCACTGCTATGGGCAGGAGGATTGTGCCTCATCCACTTCTTTCTCAGGCCTTTTGCCTTTGAGTACTAAGCAAGAACGCTGCTTTTTACTAGTTAAGACTTTTTCCCGCAGAAGTTTGTGAGTTCACACTCAAGCAACATTCACAGGTAGACAGGTCTGTCACTATATCTGAATCAAGGTGATTGTTGCCAATAGCTAAGAAAGTGCTGAACTGGAATGAAAAATGGCTTCGTGTCTCATTACTTTTCCCAAACAGTAGCCCATATATCCTGCTTTAGTTATAAGTTACAAGAGAAGATTTAAAATTCAAAGAGGTCATGAAAGACACTTTTTTGTTGTTGTTATACACCTTTGACTCTTCTTCAGATAGGCTTAGTTCTTAAACATTTATGGATTAAGGGCTAGTGCAGAAAGGCAGACTCACACATGCATTAGCTCACTGTCGTTGTGCAGATGTTCTTGTTTTACTTGAGGTGTTACAATAGCTGGGTGAGGGATTCCAGTTGTGTGAGGGCCTGGAGGACCAGGAATCATGTGATGTGAAAACCTAAAAGAAAAAACAAAGGGAGGTCTGTAACCGTACTACAAACATGTATGACAGCATCAGGGTGCCCCAAGAATGCAAACATTATGAAGCTTGCAATGGAAGATAATTCTTCAAAAGTGCATGAAAAATATTTGGCTAAGATTTGTGCATTGTAGCCCATTTATTGAAGAAAAACAAACAAACAAAAATATCAGTCAACATTTTGATTGTAAAGAAGCTATTTTATCACCTTTCAGGCAAACGGTTTTAGCAATGCAAACAAGAAGTTTAATGGATGTACTGTTGCACTGACTAGCAATAAAAATACACATTTCTTAACCAAAAGCTGTATTTCCACACCAAGATATAAACATTTTAAAAATATCCACCACCAGCCAAGGCAAAGGAGAGAACTGCCATGCAGAAACAAATAAAATAAAAGAGGAGTCTTTTCAAGAAGTACCTGATGGCTCTCTAAGGAACCTCCGACTTTTCAAGGTATTCAAGCCAAAAGGTGTTAACATCACTTCATCTAACTCACTATCCTTCCCTCAAATGCTTAAAATAAATGTTAAGAATCCTGCATCTAGGGGGATGGAAGGGAGACACTTTTGTGCTAAATAAAGCTTCCTTTCCTTTCTACAAGAAGGAAAATGGAAAAGAAAACCAAAGCACCACTAACTCAGCCATCCCACGCTACTAACCCAGGCCATCCTCAAGGTTATCTGACACAGATATTGAAGGTGCTGAGCATTGCAAGGTCACATGCAGCGGAAAACCTGCATGCTTCATTTTGTGTTTTATTTTATTTTGGTGGAAAGTACCATTAACATCAAAAGCAAGCTTACACTACAAAGGTTTGCTGAATGAGTACTGGTTAAGGAACGGCATCCAGCCTCTCCTTTCTCCATTTCCTAGTCCCTTTGCCCTTTTCCTTCATGTCATCAAAATAAAGCAAACACAAAGCCCAGTAACCAAAGCAAGTCATTTTATCATGGAGAAAGAATGGGTTTTCTTCCCAATCACCCTGACAGGCACATGCTTATCATTCCCCTGTAAAGAAGTGAAAGGACAGAGATAATCCAAAGAGGCCCACACAAATAGAGGCAAGAGGACCCATCACTTATCAAGTGGCTTGTCTTAAATCCCCATGCAAGAGGATGTGTCTTCTACAAGTCACACAAAAAAACCCCCAAGAATGGTATATTGCAACCTCGTGTACACCAAGCACAGGATGCAGAAGCTGTCTTTAGAGTGCAAAAGCAGAGGAGAGGAGGTCTGGAGTGTGTCGTGGCCAAGTCTCAATTAGCATTGCTTGCTTGCACTTAGACACAAAGACACAGTGCCTGATTCACACACCAGTACAAACACACTGTGCTGGCATTCCCTGTCATTAGTGGCTTTGGGCTATGAAATACCTACTTGCGAGCAAGTTTCAACACGGAGCGATACCTAAATGATTCAAGACTAATTAGCAACAACTTTGAAATTAGAACTAGAGAACACAGAACTAGAGTGACAATCAACCTGGTTGCATACTTGCATGAGCAAAACCCAAGGATGCACACTATATGTTGCATCTAGAAATGAACTAACGACTCATTCCAGATGAAACAGCTCAATTAATTGTTGACAATTCACTGGTGCTCCTAATTGCAATACTTCAGAGACTGCCAAGAAAATGCTGAATGAGACCAGTGTGGGATCCAGGCAAACTGTATATACACAAAATAAGTTAAATAAAAATGTATGCATAAAGTTTTAGCTGACTGAAAAGCAAGCAAAGGCAGACCAAGATGCAAGCAGAAGAGCAACTTGCCCTCTAGTGCCAGCAGTTACTCCCCAGTCAGTCATTCACCTCCTACACCTACCTGGACATGGAAGGGTCGACTGAGAGTGAGGATGGATAGGGCTGCCTGAATCCACTCGAGATGGGATATACAGGCTGACCTTGCCTGAGGTCACAGAAGAAAGGAACCCATCAATCATATGATATGGTATTCAATAGTTACTCTAGAGTTACAAGCACTTGATGGGAACTCACTACCAGTCACAAATAAATAGTAATAGGTAAAACTTTCAAGAGTTCTGCTGTATGCAAAGATAATGAATACTTGAACGCCTTGGGCTTTTTCCCTTGCTACTGGGAGATCCCCAGTCCAGGCTTCCACTGGGGAAGAAAGCAAAACAACCAGCCTTCCTCCCCAAAGCACACATGCACACACACACACTCGCATGCACATTCCTCCACCTCTATCCTTCTCTCGCCTAGTTTTAAAAGCACTGGAATCAGATTTGGTTAACTAGCTCTTAGGAAATGGGCATCTCACTCCAAGATGTTCTACTGCAGATCACTCAGACTGTGAGTTATTAAGCTAATAAAACTGTTCAAAAGGTTTTCTAAGTCTTCGAAAACTTGGGACTCTCCCATTTGCATCTGCTACAATGAGGTACAAGTGGGCAGCTTTTCTAAAAAAGTAGAAGTTCATTTGATTAAAAAACCCAAAAAACAAAACAAACCCCAAAACCCAACCACAGTCACCTGGAAGCCCACAACAACACAAGTCCATCTTAACTACTTAAGGAGCAAACTTTCCAATCCATTAGCAAAAGCTTGTGAGAAATTCTTACCTTCTTTATACTCCCACATATACGAATATTTTGTCACCAGCCTGTCATTTGGACTCTCTAATTTTTTCATCATCATCATTAGATTTTGGTTACTTTCAGTTAGCAATGGTTCAGGTTGTGACAACGATCAATACCCTGAAGTAGTATGCTATGATAATGCAAACAAATGCTAGTTCAGCCCAAATACCTGAAACAGCCCAGAAAGATCACTGCACACATCAATCCTATTCAGTCAGTTATGTTTTGACTGGCAGATCAGCTTTCAGAGGGGAAAAAACCAGATACTGGTTCAGGATACAGGTTTCACATTTGGATTACATTACTGGAAATGAGCAGTGCTCAAAGAGAAGGGGAAAAAAAAGGTAAAAGAAAATAGTGGAGGTCTCAGCAGTGCTACTGCACAGAAGGCAGCTGGAAGCTGTATAGCATAAGGGATGGTGGGTATGTCCCCCGAACATGTCTTATGAGATCGGATCTTGTCTCTCCTCTTCTCTTTTCCCCCTTCCCTCCCCAAAGACTCTGTATTAAGAAGCCATTCAGAAGAAATGATTGACCACATCTGGAAAATGCCTGCCAGGAGCTGTCTGGTGGTGGTGGTGGAGGTGGGGACTTAGCTGAGGAGCAATGAATGGGGAGAAGAGGGTATGGGGCAAAATTATTTGAAAAACTAGTCAGATACTTCCATATTTTAGTTTGGTTTCTGATAATAATTTGTTCAAAAAAGGCACTTTTTGCTGCACTTCCTGAGAGATTTGACAGCAATACAGCATTTCACCATCTTCTGCTCTCTACTTTCTCTGTGTGTTGTCACCTGGACCACGTTCCCCTCCCATAAAGACATCAAAAAATACCCCCCCTGCATCACTTGTTGTGCAGGCACAGACTAGTCAAGATACAGATTCAAAAGCACCAAAATTGTTGCAGAGTTTCCTTATTCCCTGCTCCGACAGCACTGAGGGCAAGTACCTCTCTACCCCAAGCAGACATGAAGCATCCTGCCAAATCAATTACTCTGAAAATACCATGCGTTTCCTCCAGAAGGAAAATGACACCCTGAGTGGCAGAGAGAGAACCCGAGAGTGGTAGTATTAGCAAGAGCAGCAAAATCTCCCAATGACAGAGGCTTCCCTCCATGTAGAAAGTGTAAAAAGCAGCAGACTACAGAAGTTTGTTCTCCATTTGGGTGCAGTTTCAAGATCTCCACACACACACACACTTCAAAGTTCTTTCTCCCCTCAGTAATTGCAATTTTGTTTATTAAAAATTTACATTTAATTCCTTGAGAAGTGTTTTCTGCTATCTTTCCAAATGCCAAGAGCCACAAATCTGAGCCATAAGAAATATATAGACTTCAAAGTGAAATCTACACACTTCAATTTCTGTATGTGTTCAAAAACCAGATTCAATTCATTTCAAAGATCGACATTTTTTGATCTTTTCAACTAAAATAACATAGTAATTTCTTACTGCAGCAACATTCTGATTTTGTAAATGCTGCAATTGATTCAACAACAGAAAATGGTGTGAACATGCGCCTTTGTCTGAAAAGAAGCTAAAAGATCTTACCAGCCAAGAGGTGGTGTTATCTGTCCAACCCCCCCTGGAGACAAGGGATAGAAGGTAGGGAGATCAGGAGCTGGAGGATGCCTGGACATGCCTGTTAAAGAGCACAGAAGAATAAATGACTTTCCCCTCAAAATACTACATGTGAGCTACAGTTCACAGCTAACACGTTCAAAGCTATGATGGAATTAGGGCTCTGGGTAAGAGCTAACCACCTTCCTGGTTAGTGTTAAAAGCAAAAGGCTACCCATAGCACCTTAAAAATAATAAATAACTTGCACATGATATTACAGTTTGAAGTGAAATACTGGAAAAAACAAAGCGGAAGGAGGAAATAAATGTACAGGCCAGTACTCGTGCAAGTTTATATCTCCTGCAGACTGTGTTAGGCAATACTGTCCTCTCAACGGTTTTGCCAAACCCAGCTGGATCCTGAAGATCTCTTCTTACACAGCATGAAACAAGACGAAAATAAAGTGTTGTCAAAGAGGCAGCACAGCAGAGCTATTAGATTAGGTAAATTGCTACTTGTACATTTTCACACGTTCCCTTATGGATTCACAGATTTTGGAAACTTGCTACCATGGAGGATCAGTGGTTAATTAAGAATCATTTTCAGGCCTGTAATGGTCACACTTGATATGATTCATTTGGCTTCCAATTGTCACTCCAGCTCCAACTAAGCTCTTCATCAAGTTGACTCCTGTGGGCTCCAAGGTCAATCTGTTTTGCACTGGTAGTATTTTTGGAAAAATAAGAGTCCCATCAGGAACGATCCATCGGCTCACATTCCCCAGAACACTGAGTCCTACAACTGCAAGAATCACCTCAAGATTAAAGCTAATCCTTGTCCCAAAAGGGTCTGTGGTCTCCATTCTTCACCTAAACCTTGTGCCCCCAGGAGACATGGAATTACAGTTGCAGAGGCCACAAAGACATCGGTTTATTTAAATGTGTTTGGGGAAGAGGGGGCTGAAGCAGAAGGAATTGTTAAGTCTACTTCACATGTTAAATCAGCTGCTTTAAAAGGGTATTAAATATTTATGTGGTGACACTCCAAAGGTCCAAGACTGAGTGTGTGCTACCTTGAGACTTGGTTTATAGATTGATGCTACCGATTTATTCCCCACCCCGTTTGTATTTAAATCTTCTGAATTTAATTACAAGATTTGAAGAATATCCTTCAGGACCATGTACAGGAAAGAACAGAAAAAAATACTGGTGGTGTCACTGTCTCAAAAATATTAAATTCCCAGACTTGGGACCACGACCTGGCTGAGGTTCGGATTTCTGTCCAGCTGTCTTTTCAAAGGTGTAAAAAACAGCTGGTGGCTGACAGGAGAGGGAACATTTACGTATCCCTGGGTTTTTATGTGAGAGGGAATGCTCTTTCAGAGCAGTTTAAAACAACCAAAACATAACAAAAGCAAAGGTGAACACCAAGCCCAGCATCTCATCTCTCTTGTCTCTGGTGATGGCTGATGCTCCTGGGAGTGCTAACACGACCCTGCCTATGCCAGACTATGCCAGACCAAGTTCTGCATAGGGAGTCGGGCAGCTCCTTCCCCCAAATCCACATTTCTGACCCTCGGAGACAATACTGCTCTCTCTGCACTAACACAAAGTGACTGTCATTAGTCCAAAACTTCTGGCCTCTTATGGGGGGGCTGCCCACTACCTAATGCCCACCAGGAACACATGCAGCTACTGAACAGGCAGCGCTCTCCAGAGCAAGTTCTTGTGCATGAAAGGGTTAAGGAAAAGAAAAAGGGAGGGGGAGGAAGGGGGATAAAGAAGGGTTAAGAAAGAAGTGACCACCTTTAGCAAGGCAGTGGCTGTGTGACCATCCCAAAGTGCCTGCGGTGCAAGGGGCAGTGCTGTGGGCAGGGGCATTTTGGTGGGAGGAGGGCACCCTGGCATCAGGGCTAGGGCATCAGGGCAGTGCCTCATTCCAGGCCCACGGTGGGAGGTGAGCATAGAAACAATGGTTGGAGCCATCTGGCAGAGGACCCAAGGGAAACAAACAAAATCCTCTCTGCAGCAACTGCATGGGCCACTTTACTGGGGCTGCTCCCACATGCCAGCGGCGCTGAAACGGGAAGTACGGAAGGACCACACACATCAAGGAGACCACCACAGCCACAACCAGAAGTCTCCATCCCACGTTATCCGTCCCATCTTCACCAGACACTGAGCAAAGGGACCAAGAGCCCACTCAGGAACACCAGATGGGCACAAGCTTGGCACCAGAGATGTCCCTGGCTGCCCCCAAGCAGAGCCCCTCTTGGTGCTTAGGGACCTTCAGGAATGGGTATGTGAGTGGTGGGATGCAGCAGGGCTGGGTATGCGAGATGGCGAGAAAGGGCAGAAGGCAGAAAAAGCAGCAGAAAAAACAAACCAGATGTTGTTCAGGTCGGGTGGGCTGGACAGGAAGGAGTACATGATTCTATGATTATGATAGGCTGGGGTGAAGGCAAAGAACTGGGGTGCAGGAGGGCAAACCCATCATGCAGTAGGTGAAAACCTCTTGAGCTCATGAACTGCAGCAGTGGGGTGTGCCCCAGACGCTGTAGCCAGCTTGGGCAAAAGGTGGAAATCCCTTTCTCTAATGTGCAGCACCCCTAAGATTTCAAGGAATGAGCAATAATAGCCACCCTTCTCCTGGGCACTTAAACAAAGGAGAAAGACAAATGAGGACAGGAGGTCTCCATTTGCTTCTTTCAACTCTGAAAACTACATTATACATATTTATAGGCCAGGCTTTCCAGGCAGAGTGTTTTTTTATTCCCCCTCCCTAAAAAAACCCAACCAACTAACCAACAAAAACCAAAACACACACAGAGCCACACGGCCATGGTACCTTCTGAATGTAGCCCATGTTATTGTCTGTGTAGCAAGGCCAAAATAAAAACAGGGCATTCAGGGAAAGTCAGAACTAAAAGAAGTCTCTCTCCCTGAGCGATGGTGGCTAGACTCCTCTCCAGAAAAATGGGACATCTGTGCACGTGCATGTGTGCCCAGGTAAAGCAGAGCTTCATGATCTTGTCAACTAGGTGGGACATGTGAGTGCTGGAAGAGGCAGGGAGACGCACCCTCCAGGACCAGTCCTGACATCCGGACTTCACGCCCATGAACAGATGTCATGACTACAGCAAATGCCTCCATAAACCCTCTGCTCCCTCTCCTTCCCTCCTGGCTACCAGCTCTCCTGCATAGGCTTTTCCTCCTCAGGCACTTACACAGACACCTGCTCAGATCCATGCCGGCCAGGATCAGTCTGCCCCTTGCACCTCCCCAACAACCATCATGTTCCTCCCAGCTCCTGCATCCCAGTGCAAGCAAGCACACCCTCCCCAGCAGACCCCTGCGCTCACCGGGGCAGGAGGTCTCAGCACAGGCTGGGCATGGCACCTTGGAGGTTGTCGGTACTTCCTGGGGTTTGCAGACCACCCTGGAGAGGGGCTGGTCTGACACTCCCAGTTGAGGATCTGGGGGACTTTGTTTGGTGGTGAGGCACTGGAAAAGGTTGCCCAAAGGAGTGGTAAATGCTCCATCCCTGGCAGTGTTCAAGGCCAGGTTGGACAGAGCCTTGGGTGACATGGTCTAGTGCGAGGCGTCCCTGCCCATGGCAGGAGGGTTGGAACTAGATTATCTTAAGGTCATTTCCAACTCTAACTTTTCTATGATTCTATGATTGATGTTTCTGCATCTGCAAGCCTTGGGCACCACACGGGACAGGACAGGCTCACCTTGTTTGGAGTTGACGTCAGAGGGGATATGAGATGGGTGCGACCCTGGGGAAAAGTGCTCATCGCTGTAGGTGATAAGGGGGGTGAGAGGGTGAACCGCATGAGAAGGCTGTACCACTGGCACCTTGTTTGACTGCAAGAGAAGAAAGAAATTAAACTGTGTCAGTGAGGTTGGGCTTTCTGCATTAAAAAAAATCCAAACAAGCAGCAAACACTCCCAAAATGCAATTTTACATATCTGCATTACTGAAAGCTGGGGGAACAGATGGACAGACATGACATTGGGGCTGCTGGATGGCAACCGGGTTTGCTACCAGAATCGGCATCCTTGAACCACTGGTGCCTGAGGAGGGATAAGGGCATTGAGGAAGTGCATGGAAATGGGTGGCGGCTGGGAACAGGAGGAAAGGCATTTGGGAAACAGGGAGATGGGGCGGGGGAAGCACTGGCCAGAGAGCCACAGGGCGGGAGGAGCACCACATTGCACACCAAGGGCTGTGAATGAAGGATGGCAGAGCCAGCAGCAGCACTGAAGAAACCCTTTGGTTATGGGATAAGACTTAAAAGTACTCAAAGGTTAAAAGTGCAGGTTGGCCATATCTTCAGTCGAGCAACATGAGCTTCATCAACTTTGCTCCTCCTCTCCATCACTCTCCTGCACAGTCACAAGACGGCTCAGCTGGGACTGCCCCCCCCCATTGCCAAAGAGTATGGCGGGTTTTTTCCCTTCCAGTCTGGCTGAAATCTCTTGGTCTGCACAGCATGTAACTGAAAAAAACACCCTTGAAAGCCTGATTTCATATGTAAGTGGTTTGCAGTAGCCTCTCAGGGGGGTCAGTTAGGGAGGAGATCCTCTGACCACCCAGAAACAGCTGGGCAGCCTCTCACCACACGATGCCAAGGGGGGTCCCAAAATGGATGCTGTAAGGTGGTGTCCATGCCGGCCAAGACACATGCTTCCCATCAGCACTTCCCACAGAGGCTCAGGTAAGGGGTTACTCAGCAGGAGGGAGGGAGGTCACTCAGCATGAGGGAGGGATGTCACCCAAAATCACACTCTTTTTGATCAAGGCTGCAAGACAACAGGACTTGTTCGTCCCCACAAAATGCTGCTGTATTAACACTGCTTAAAACACAAGTTGTTCTTCCTGTGGTGGGAGACAAGCCAGAGCAATGGTGCCACTGTGTAACAAGCACTCCTCATTTGTACCCCAGCAGCCTAACCTGCCCCTAGCAAAATTAATTATGGCATAAAAAGGTGTTAATTAAAATCTAAATAAGGGGGGGGATGGACACACACACACACAAAAACGCTTTCCTTCATACAGAAACGCTGATAAAACTCAGCAAGGACAGCCTATCAAATATAAGGAATGAAGAAAAATATTAAGAGCCCAATGAAATTCATTTTCTTTGCGTTCACTACTGAAATCCCAGCACCAACAGATGTTAGGACAACACTCCCTAAGTAAAAACCCAGGATTTCTCTGGACTTCTGGAAGCAGAAGGGTTATTAAACGGACAACTCAATTTATTGTTAAGGCTGGCAGGAGTAGAGGAAAGGGAGCAAATGGGAACCAGTGCAGCATTTTCTGCTTGCCTTGTTTCCAGAGCACCACCTTAAGGAACTTGCATTAGCAGGCAGTATCTTCTTAATGTCTGACCTATCCCTCCAGTCATACAGCTCAGAATCTCGTGCCATGAATTTTTGCTAAATTATGCTATCCTTGCTCTCCTCTTAATTTTACGGTTTTCAACACAGATTTGCTTTCCTGTGGGAAAGAGATAAGAACCTGAGGATTTTAATTTAAGCTTCGGCCTTGTCTTATATTTTGCAAGATGGAGAGAGAAAGCAGCGCTAGTAGGTGTTTTAAAGCCAACAAGCATTAGGTCCATTTTTGTGACCAAATAATAAAGGCAATATGAATTCTCAATAATACCTGTGAGTTGAGTTGTAAAGGGGATAGCTCATATTGCTATTCATCTTCCCTGTCTCTACAAATTCAACAAAAAACAGATGCCAACAAATTTCATATGATTTACAAATCAGGCCTTAGTCTTTTGCTACGAGGCTCGCAGGCCAGCCCACCATTCAGCAATTACTTTATCAACAACAAACTATATATTATGAATAAAGATCAAGCAATAGATGTATTTAGGTCACACACATGCAGCTGCTAATCAGCATTAATTTCTCGGAATTTAGTAATTAACATTCTGTATTATACTGGATGTAATTGTCATGCACGCCCCTGGTATCAGGGTTACTTGCTTTCAGAAATCATCCGTTTGTACTTCGAGCAAGCCAATCCCCGTACCCCCTCGCTCGCCAGCATCCTGGAGATTTTATTTTCTTTTCTAATTCTCAGCACCTTATCCCCTAAGCCCACAGCAGCGGCTTTCAACGGGCGAAGGAACCGTGAGAAGTCATGAGAAAAGCAAAACGCTTGTCAGCGGGCTTAAAATTAACATATAAACGGGCCGTATCTCCATTAAGAGCATTTGGGGGTCTGCAGAGCCAGAAACAGGGGGGGGAATAGTAACAATAAGTAATATTAATAATAATAACAATAACAACAACATCAGTTAGAACAATAATTCTAGTAATCTCTTCAGCCCACCTGTCCCACACCACTTTGGGAGGACCTATGGAGCTCCGGCAGCTAAATTCTGCTGGGTACCCAGGTGTGTCTCCAGACAGGGGCACAGACTGAGCTTCCCCCTTCCCTGTGGTCCCACCAAGATGATCACAGGGACCGATGGGGAGAAAACGCAAGGCAACACATGCAAAATGAAACCAATATGAGAAAGGCCTGAGGACATGTTCTGCAAATGCCCTACAGACTAAATCAGTACTGCTATGGCACCTGCCCTACACATCAACCCAGGCGGGTTATCTGGGCCCTCCTCCTAGAGACTAAGATCTCGTATGCAGACCTGGATGCCCCTCTTGGGGTCAGGGGAGGAACAGGTTGGCCCCACACACCTCATCCAGTTCCATGGTGCTGGCCTGCACCCTTCACCCTGGGGATATCTGGACTGGGGACAATGCCAAAGCCTCTTCCACTGCCTACTGCCCCAAAGGCTTTTCAGGGCTGCGTGACACAGCCAAAATCCTACTTCTCGCTGAGGTACAAGGCAATGCTGATTAGACTCCTATTGCAGCCCAGTATCTTTGCCCATAGGCTTCGTCCTCCCCCCACAAACATGCCATTCCTACTCTATGTCTCTCCTAATCCTCTGATGATGGCGCATACGCCTGCAGAAACCCTTGAGCAACTGCCAGAGACCTGAACCCAGGGACCACCAATCTGGGTCAATGTGATCTCCATGCAGAGGGAGCTCAGCCCCCCATGCTTCTCTCAGCACCTGTCAACCAAACCAGCAACCACCACAGCTCTCCCCAGCACACTGGTCACATTTATATCTAATATAGGCACAGTTCACCAAGCACCTTTTCTCCTCAACACAACCATAACATCTCCTGCAAAACCCAATTGGTCCACATGCCTTCAATGAGACAATCACATAATTACCCATTGTCCTACATGAGGTTCTTCAATTCAACAGAAATTATACCCACCTACTGAAGCCTAGTATTTTGGTGCACATTGGTACCTAAGCAATTTCTAGAAATACAGTAAAGCAGATGAGGATGCAATTCTCATATCCAAGACAATCTGAAGAAGTTAGATGTTTGATGAAACAGTTCCTAACACAGCCCTGATGTGGCATATGTGGGCTGCGACCACACCACATCAGTTTAGTCCCATTCATTAAACTCTGGGCCTAAGCTTCTTCACATGACCTGGAAAGTAAAGGAAATTGAACGTACAGCCTAGCTCAAGAGCTGCGCTTTGGAAAAAATAAATAACTAAGAGCAAGGACCTGCAGGTTACAAACCTGAAGACCTCCTTTAAGGCACCTTGTCACACGTGTGTCATAGCCTGTTATGACATTAAAGGTTAACGACAAAGGCATCACCCATGCCTGCTGGCCTGGGGGCACCCAACTGTGCTCTACAAGCCAGCTCAAAGGGACACTTGCCTACAAGTGACCAAACCTTGGTGGCCTCCTTCTCAGAGGCCGTTTGCCCATGTGGGCTCCAGACCCACTGCACAGTCTTGCCACACTGCCTGTGGCAGCATAGAATTATAGAATGGTTAGGGTTAGAAGGTTCCAACTCCCTGCCATGCACAGAGACAAATCCTTTCGGAACTGGCCTTGCACTCAAGACACCTCTCCCCAGCCCTCCGGGGGCACTTCTGCTTGAACATTTGCTCATCAGCTTGGCCTTCACAGTCGGTATCTTATTTTGCCCTAGCACATGCTCAGATGGAGGTAAGGCAGCACAGGCAGGGGATGGACCCCAGCAGAGATACCAACAGGGCAAACAGGCAGGGCTGGGAGAATATACATGTGCTGGAGACAGCAAAAGCCAAATTGTTTGGCCAGTCAATAGTAGGATGAAGCTGCTATTTGGTTTTATGACTGACCTGAAAAAAAAACCCATATCCCTAATAAAACAATGATGAGCTAAGGATAAGAGCTCGCAGGGAAGAGGATCCTGACCCAGCAGTAGGCATTACCCCAGCAGATGCTTCACCATGCACTGGACACCACTTTAAAAGTATTGCTGTCTTAAAGCACGGCAGGAACAACCACCCAAGTTGGTACAAGATCAAATGTTTCCCTTGCAAACAGCAGTGATGGTCTGTAAATGGGAAAGCTTGAACTGTACTCGGACATTTCAGTCAGGACAAGGATGGGGGAAAGAAATCCCCCAGCCATTGCATTGGCACAGCTGCTGCCATGCAGCTGGGAAACCCCTGAAGTGCTCTGCATGGCAATGCTATACCTGGATCCACAGAGCTACTCACCATTTAAAACGTGCGCCTGGGCTCTCATCCGAGGAGTACGCGTTGAGACAGTTTAATCTCTGGTGACTTGATGGTGAAACCCTGCATATCATATTTGGTCTGAATCCAGGGAGTTTTCCCTCATTTTTACATGCTTCTAAAGAAAAACACAGAACTCAAGCCCCACTCCAAACACTAGCTAACACTCCAGTGAAGGCCTGCATCTGTAAAGTATCCTATATGCAACAAGTGTGCAAAAACTACAAAAAGCCTG